CCCACGGGTGGGGGGGAGGACAGGCCGCTGCAGCCGTTGTTCCCCCAGCAAGAGTGTGACTTGGGGGAGGCTCTGGGCAGCCCCCACGGACCCCCGCGGATGTGAGCGCTGGAGGCTGTCTGGTGATGGCTCTTCCTGCAGATCTTTCTGGAAAGGGGGTCTGGCACACGGGCTGCGCTCAGGGAAGGCCGGGTGGAGCAGAGACTTGAAGGAGTTAGGGACGCGTAGCTGAGACACGTAGAGAATGAGCCCTACAGACTGGGGACAGAGAAGCCCAGGCCCTGGGTAAGCTTGCCTCTGAGGCCTCCAGAAGCACGGTGGGGCTGGAGTGAGTGAGCAGCGTGAGAGGAGGTCAGGGGAGTGGTGGGGCCGCTCTGAGGTCATGTGAGAACGAGGGGCGCAATGGCGGGGTGTGGGGGGGCGGCTAAGGCAGCGAGGACTTTACTGAGGGAGGGCGATTCCGGGACAGGAGAGCCCATGACGAGTCCACCGCCAAGCTCCCAGGGAGGAGGACTGTCATCCCGCGGGCACCCTGGAAATGCTCCGGAATGCGACGGTTTCGGGATCGCGCCGGGCTGGCGCGCCCTGCATCTTTAAGCAGTGTCTGCTGCCCTCTGGTGGACTTGCAGGAGATTGCCCAAGCCCACTTGCAGCTTCGTTTTTGCCGGCAGTCTATGGGACCTGTGGGTTCACCTTCAACTCGGGGCTATAAAAACTCTCGGCACGGGATCGTGGAAGCGTCAGGCAGCACTTGGCAGAAACAACTCATCAACGTAGACACAGGAAGGCAAGGGAAACTACGGTGTGGTTGCAACAGTATTTGGAGTGGAACTGGGGCAGGGCTGTGTGATGTTTTCTACCAGGGGTGGTCAGAGACAGAGAAGTGGGGCTGAAGGATGCTTCTAGGGCTGGAAGCTGTAGAGCAGTCACTGTTCCCAGGAGGAGAACAAGGTGAAAACACGAGCCGTGCTTGCCAGAGAGCTCTGAACTCCAGGGCAGACATGAGATCATGCTGGGAAGGGAAGGGAACCGGGCTCGCAAAGTCCCAACTCATGGAAAGAAAATGGACATTTGAAGGCCCAGCAGAGTCACCAGAAACAGAAAAAATGGCTTCTTCCTTCTTCTGCCTTCCAGTCTCCTTCCAGTGTCTCCCTGACAGAACTAACAAGAGGCCAGCTGGCAAAGGAGTCTGGAAGGGGTAGTTTGCAGGCTTCTCGACCCCTTCTTATAGAGGGGGGCCCTTCAGCCCGGGCAGTACCAATTTCCTAATTGTGTGTGTGTGTGTGTGTGTGTGTGTGTGTGTGTGTGTGTGTGTGTTTAAAGATTTATTTATTTATTTATTTGACAGAGAGAGACACAGCCAGAGAGGGAACACAAGCAGGGGGAGTGGGAGAGGGAGAAGCAGGCTTCCTGCTGAGCAGGGAGCCCGATGTGGGGCTGGATCCCAGGACCCTGGGATCATGACCTGAGCCGAAGGCAGACGCTTAACGACTGAGCCACCCAGGTGCCCCACAATTTCCTAATTGTTATGTAAGATCCCCTTCTCCCTTTTGTTACTCCAGTCCTTCCCACACCCTTTGACCCAATTTTCTGCATCAAATCCTTCTATTTGAATTTTCCAGATTTGTGTCGGTTTGTTCAATATGTGCATAAACTATGACTGGGAGCAAATGCAGCTATCTGGGGACCCGAGGCTTATACGATAGGAGAGAGGCATTCTCATTAAGAAAAGGAATAGAGGGGCACCTGGGTTGCTCAGCTGGTTAGGCGTCCAACTCTTGATCTCAGCTCAGGTCTTGATCTCAGGGTCCTGAGTTCAAGTCCTGTGTTGGGCTCCATGCTGGGTGTGGAGCCTCCTGGAAAGAAGAAAGAAGGAAAGGAAAGGAGAGGAGAGGAAAGGAAAGGAAAAAGAAAGAAAGAAAGAGGAAGGAAAACAACATTATGCATAAAAAATGAGCTTTAGGGGCGCCTGGGTGGCTCAGATGGTTGAGCATCTGCCTTCAGCTCCAGTCATGATCTTCAAGTCCTGGGATCAAGCCCCACATTGGGCTCCCTGCTCGCCTGCTTCTCCCTCTCCCTCTGCCTCTCCCCCTGCTTGTCCTCTCTCTCTCTCTCTCTCGCTCTCAAATGAATAAAATCTTTTTTTAAAAAATGAGCTTTATAAGCTTCATGTAAATTCACCTTTCCTATGACCCGACGATTTCACTCCAGATACTTCCCTGGACAAAGTCTTGCACATGTGTATGAGGTACCAAAAGACATGATTTGAGTATGTTCACAGAGGTATTCTTTGTCAAAGGAAAAAGCTGGAACTAACCCATCACTATTGATAGGAAAATGGACAAATACAAGAAGAGTCAACATTTTATATTAAAAAGATACCTATTCTCAGGGCGCCTGGGTGGCTCAGTCGTTAAGCGTCTGCCTTCGGCTCAGGTCATGATCCCAGGGTCCTGGGATCGAGCCCCGCATCGGGCTTCCTGCTTGGCCGGGAGCCTGCTTCTCCCTCTCCCACTCCCCCTGCTTGTGTTCCTTCTCTCACTGTTGAAAAATAAATAAAATCTTTTTTTTAAAAAAAGATACCTATTCTCCTTGAACTGTATCTAACAATTCAATACGATACCAATCAAATTTCAGCGAGGTTAAATAGAACATACTACTTCCAAAATTGATGTGTATCCCTTCACACCAAACACAAAAATCAGTTACAGATAGATTAAAGACTTAAACATGAAAAGAAAAACTTTACAACTTTTGGAGAAAATCTAAAATATCTTTATGAACTTTGGGGTAAGGAAGACTTTCTTAGAGAAGACTCAACATGCTCAAACAAAACAAAGAAAAAGGAAAAGTTTGCTAAATTCTGGTTCATTTAGATAATCCACAGACTTCTACTTCCATCCAAAGTGGAGTAGAAAGGTCTAGATTAACTTTCTTGCTTAAAAACAAAAGGAAAAGATGATGTATATAAATATAGGCAACAGCAACTTGAAAGACATTGGACATCAGGCAACAAAGGGTAGTGATCCTTGAGAAATGGGCAAAGAACAAGGTGACTCCTGTGATTGTCCAAGCTGACTGCCTTGTTTCCAGATAGAGAGGAGGAACTATGGTGAAATACTCCCTGAGTTGAAAAGATGGAACTAAGAGCCTGGGGAGACTGAGGCTGCCTGAGTTCATAGACAGGACAGAGTACTAGCAAAGAGAGAGAATTTCACAGAGAGAGATCCCCAAGACCTGCAGGGGATCACCCTCAAGTATTCAGTGTGTGAGGACCTGCCCAGGATGGGGAAAGAAGCATCACAAAGAAGAAAAGGATTAAACATGCTGGGAATAGAAGGGAACTTCCTCAACCTGATACAAGGCATCCATGAAAAACCCAGGTTAACATCATACTCAGAGCTGAAAGATCGGATGCTTTCCCACTAAGAGCAGGAACAAAACAAAGATGTCTGCCCTCACCTCTCCCATTCCACATCATAACGGAGGTTCTAGCTAGGGCATTTAGGCAAGAAAATGAAATAAGAGGCATCCAGATCGGAAAGGAAGAAGTAAAACTATCTGTTTGTACATGACAAGATCTTATATATAGAAAATCCTAAAGAACCCACTAAAAAAAAAAAACAAACCCGTAGAATAAACAAGTTCAGCAAGGTTGCAGGATACCAACTGAATATATACAATCCATTGTATTTTTACCCATTTGCAATGAACGACGTGAAAAATGATGAAAAAAAATTCCATTCATGATAGCACAGCAAAGGAAAAAAAAAAAGACAAGGGAGTAAATTTAACCAAAGTGCAAAACTTACATTCCAAAAGCTACAAAATATTGTTGAAGGAAATTAAAGATCCAATAGATGTAAAAATATCCAATGTTCATGAACTGGAAAACCTAACATTGTTAAGATGGCAATACTCTTCAAATTGATCTATACATTCAACACAGTCCCTATTAGAATCCCGCTGAAGTGATCCTTACCTCACACCATGTACAAAAATGAACTCAAAACAGATCAATGACCTAACTATAAGAGCTAAACCTATAAAATTCTTAGAAGACAACACAAGGGTAAATGTCCATGACCTGGGATTTTGCCATGGATTCTTAGATGACACCAAAAGCCCAAGCAAACAAGGAAAGAAGCTAGATTGGATTTCACTGAAGCTAAAAACTTTTTTGCTTCAAAAGACACCATTAAGAAAGTGAAAAGACAGCCCATAGTTACAGAAAAATACAAACATTCATTCCTTCAAAATGAGCATGTAGCAGGGGCTGAGGAATGAGAGTGAGTAAGCCAGACAAAAACCCCCTCTTCTGTCTTCTAGTGTGAGGATTCAAAAAGGACATTAAGAAAGGAACAATTAGCTCAGACTCTAACCCTGGCTGTTTATCATCAACACTGTGACCAGAAACAGTATTTCCCTCAAGGACATGTTGCAGCTGCAGTCTGATAACAACCCATTTCTTTGAGGACTCCTGCTTTCTTACTGAGAAACTATTTGCTAAAGTTTCTGAAGTTGAAACTGAAATCCTGTCATTTCCTTCCAGGCAACAACCACCAGGAATTCGTCTATTGTTGAAAAGTTGTGTTTATTATTCATTGCTGTGAAAGAGAATGCACACCATGGGAAATCATGGGGTGTATCATTAAGAGTGTTAGAACAGGGGCGCCTGGGTGGCATCTGCCTTCAGCTCAGGTCATGATCCTGGAGTCCCGGAATCGAGTCCCGCATCGGGCTCCCTGCTCGGCAGGGAGTCTGCTTCTCCCTCTGACCCTCCCCCCTCTCATGTACTCTCTCTCTCTCTCATTCTCTCTCTCAAATAAATAAATAAAATCTTAAAAAAAAAAAAAAAAAAAAAAGAACGCGCCGCAGGGCCAGCACCCCCACCACCCCGGCCGGATGCGCGCCCTCGCGCGTGCGCCGGCAGCGGCCCAGGTCCAGGCGCCCGCCTGATTGGCTGCGCGGCGCCTGGAAGCGGCGTTGCGCGTGCGCGCTTCCCCTGCGCGGGCCCGAGTGGTGTGTGGCTCTTCCGTCTTCGTCGTCCGCGCTGCAGCCCCAATTCCCGGTGCGGGACGCTCGTGCCCAGAGCTCGGAATGTTCCCGGAACTCAATAACCTTCTCAACATCACCCCTGACAGGGCGGAGCAGGTAAGACGCCCCGCGGTGGGAAGGGGGCGGGCCCCGGAGCGTGGCGGAAGACCGCATCCCCGGATGAAGCTCACGCGGAGCCGTGGGAAAGACGCGACGTCCGCGGGCAAGACGCGACGTCCGCGGGCACAAGGGCGCCTGGGAGTTGTAGTCCGGGGAGGGCCGACCGGGAAAGTGGGCTCGGCTCGGGCGCTTACGAAAGGGGGGCGTCTTCTCAAAGGCGGTGTGTACCCTCGAAAGCGCCCGGGAAGCTTGACCAACTGTGCATTGGCTTAAACGTTCACAGACGTGTACTGGGGGGCCCTGTGCGTGCTCACTGGGTCTCGGCGCCCAGAGGAGGTTGCCTGAGAGTCGGGAGTTCGATTCTTCACCTTTCCCAGGAGACCAGCTTCTTAACCGCCCCGAGTCTCTCTGGCCCTGCGGCATTGTCAGGTCACAATGAACGCTGCTCTCCGTCTTCCTCCTCATGGTCTTGAATGGTGCTCTTCCAAGTTGCTCTCAGCCAGAGTTGGCTTGTATGAAGTCGGCCTTGGGCACAGCAGCTCCGACACTTTGTTTTCTCCACCCTCCTTCCCGCACTGCGAGGCATCCCGAAATTTTTCACATTTTAGCCCGGCGTTACTTCTCCCAGGAACTTAACCTGGTTTATTTTATAATCTTTATCTTCCTAAGGAAATGGTAAGCTCCTCCAAGCAGCCAAGACACCAAATATATCAGTCCTTTTTATGAACCCACGGTGTCAGGCAAATTACAGTTTTCAGTAGACCCTGTGGGTGTCAGTTGCCCAAACCTGCAGGTGGCACTGGCAACCTTGCTAGTTATCTGGGCACCTGCAGAGCGCTCAGGCCAGGGCCAGAGTGGAGGACTGGAGGATCAAAGTGGGCACCGGGAAATGACAGCACTGGAGGTAACTCTCAAGGTCTGATAGTGTGATCTTTCATATTTTATAAGTGAAAAAAGTCACAACATGGAAGTGCCATATCTGATACCATTTGATCCCGACCTTCCCTTTCAATGACCAGGAACTAGAGGTGGCTGGAGCAGGACAGCCAGCCCCTGTGGAGACCATCTTTAGAGGTCTTTCCAGGACTTTCCATGATCAGAGCTCTGCCTGAAGCAGTGTCCAGGGCCATTGGGATGAGAACTTTGTTACTGGAGGCCTCTGTCAACTACTGCTACTCCCCTCTCCCCCACCCTATTGGACAGAATTGGTATCAGAAATAGGAAGGAAGTTGGATCAGATTAGTTTTTTGAAGGTGCATTCCAGTCTCGGCAGGCTGTGATTTTTGTTGGGTTCTGACGGTAGAAGCTTCTTTCGTTCAGGATCTCGTTCTTCCCAGGACTGGCCCCTGAGGTACCAAGGTGAATGAGGAAGAGGAGACACTTTATTCTCTGTTAGCCTTGGGAAAGTGGAAGCTGAGATATGCTTGCCCATAATGAGTGACTTAATAGCAATCGCTTTAAGTGTTGTTTTTTTCCATAATTTTGACTTACTTTCTTCTTTTTGGTAATCTGTGTGTGTGTGTGTGTAGATACCGACCTCCTTCCAGGGAGTCTAATTTACCTTTTTGTGTTCCTCTTGTAGGGGAAACTGACTCTACTCTGTGACGCCAAGACAGACGGCAGCTTCCTTGTGCACCACTTTCTCTCCTTCTACCTCAAAGGTACAGGACTCATTGATGCTGTAGAAAAAGAAACCTAAGGGAGAACTCAATGGGAATAGTATTAACCAACCAGGGCTTTGGTGTTTGGGTAGCCAGATGGCTGTTTATTGGGTAACAGGTTACTGACCATCTTGTTCGCTGCCCATCCATCCCAAAGGGTGTTATGTGCTCTCTCTATATCCATGTCCTGTCTTCCCTTCTCCACCAAGTGTGCACACAGTCTCACGAATAAACCAACTGTGGTTTTTAAAAAAATAATATTTTGGAACGCCTGGGTGGCTTAGTTGGTTAGGCGTCTGCCTTCAGCTCAGGTCATGATTCCAGGGTCCTGGGATTGAGTCCTGCATCCGGCTCTTATGTGGCCTCCTGATTTCATTGCTCCTCAGTCCTTGTATATCTTGAGGTCTTTGGGCCCTGGACCCATTGACACGTTGCCCAGCCAGTAGATGCTTCCTAAAGAACATCGGGAGGAAAACTGCAGGGCCACTGCAATTTATAGGCGGAAGTAGATTAGAAGAAGAAAACAGCCAAATGAAAAAAAAAAGACTATTTTTTTAAAGATTTTTATTTATTTATTTGACAGAGAGAGACACAGCAAGAGCAGGAACACAAGCAGGGGGAGTGGGAGAGGGAGAAGCAGGCTTCCTGCGGAGTGGGGAGCCCGATGTGGGGCTCGATCCCAGGATCCTGGGATCATGACCTGAGCCGAAGGCAGACGCTTAACGACTGAGCCCCCAGGCGCCCCCCAAAAAAGACTCATTTATCAACTGATTCTCCTTGAGCTCCTGCTGAGCCAGGCCAGGATAGAGGGTGGACTTTTGGCACTCTTAGTCGTAATAGTTCACAGCTTTGAAAGTTGTTTTCTTTTCCAGATGATGTTATTGTCAGCACTGAAAGAGCAAGAGAATCTACAGATAAGTTATTAGAAACTAATTATGTTTAGTAAGGTAGCTAGAGCTTCTTTGTGTTCCCCTTCTAACTTCTTGGATATAAGAATAGTTGAAAAGAAATCAATTATATTTCTGTGTACACCAATGATGAGCAGAAAAATAGTATTTTTCATTTATTTAATTTTTTAAAAAGATTTTATTTATTTATTTGTTAGGGAGAGAGAGAGAAGAGCACAAGCAGGGGGAGTGGCAGGGAGAGGGAGAAGCAGGCTTCCTGCTGAGCAAGGAGCCCGATGCAGGACTCAGTCCCAGGACCCCGGGATCATGAACAAGCCGAAGGCAGACGCCTAACCGACTAAGCCACCCAGGCGTTCCAAAATACTATTTTTTAAAAACCACAATTCGTTGACAATCGAACAAAATAAGGTACCTAGTAATACACATAACAGAAGTACATCTCAGGTTCAATGAAATGAGATATAATTATTATATATGAGAAAATGTGTATCTTAGAATGAAATTGGGTATGTCAGGTTGCAGGGCCCCTTGAGTCTATCTAGACCTGGCCCAGTGCTTTTGTTTCCAGAAGTATGAACTATATGAGACTGATTGTAAGTAAAGATGTCACTAAAAATCTGTTTGTTTTATTTTCTAGCTAATTGTAAAGTCTGCTTTGTGGCACTCATCCAGTCCTTCAGTCACTACAATATCGTGGGACAGAAGTTGGTAAATATCATAGACGTCCGAGGTGCAGTCCCTGAGTATGTAGGTCATGCAGGTGTGAGTGGGGCCGAGGCTGGTCTCCCCTGTGTGGGTTGTAGAGAACTTAGCAAGGGAGTGACTGGGGAAATCACAGGGTGCTGAACCCCTTATCTGAAGGGCTAAGGTAGCATCTCTACCTGTTTTATTAATTTAGAGTTTATAGAACCACATCTGTTGTTAATTAATCAAATGCAGCTCTACTGACTCTGGACCAGTTAAGATTGTCTCCTTCTCAGTGTGGGCTTTAATCAGTCCTGCTCAGCTGATCACAGCTTGGTCTACCACCAAATTGAGTGCCTCCTACTGTCTCCCTAAGTTTAGAGCTTAGAACCCATATGTGGGGAGAGGTGCTTTTGTCACCTGCTCCTTATCTGATCTTGGCCTGCCCTTCATCTTATCAGATGTGGGCAGGAAAGAATAAGATGGCCAAGAAGCTGGTGAACCTTCTGGCCTAGCCTAGGCCATTGCCCACGACCTGTGACCAGAGGGGCTTACTGTTTTGTTTTTTTGTTTTTGTTTTTTGGGTCTTGTTTTATTTTTATTTTTTATTATTTTTTTAAGATTTTATTTATTTATTATTTGAGAGAGCGCGAACGAGAGACAGCATGAGAGGGAAGAGGGTCAGAGGGAGAAGCAGACCCCCCGCTGAGCAGGGAGCCCGATGCGGGACTTGATCCCGGGACTCCAGGATCATGACCTGAGCCGAAGGCAATCGCTTAACCAACTGAGCCACCCAGGCGCCCTATTTTGTTTTGTTTTTAATAGGCCAGCCTCACAGAGGGAAAGAAGCAGGCTTCCCATTAGCAGTGATCATTGAAATGCCAGTCTTCCTACTGGGCCACGTCACTGTGCGATGTCACTCTGATGGGGAGAGGCAAATGGGAGGATGAGAGGAGGGTAGACTCTTTCCCATCCTCTGCTGAGAAGCAAGGATTTCCTGTGTTAGAGGTCAGAGCATGAACTCAGGGAGAGCAGGCACGTTAAGAACACATTACATGCCAGGGCGGTGAAGCATGTCTCTTTGACCCTAAGCATCTGTGTTTCTGGATGAGAAACTGGTGTACACTCATGTCCAGATTGGCTACTTTTTCTGTTACCTTTGAATCGTCATTGACACGGCAGGAATGGCCTGCACAGTACTGGGCACGTGAAGGACTAGAGTGTGAGCCTCCATACTCTTGGTGTATTACTGAACTGCCATTAGTAGAATGGTAATGAGCAAGGGCAAAGGGGATGAACAGGAGTCTTTCTGTCTGCCCGGGTGACTGTGGAGCTAATGGTGCTGCACAGTGGAGGACACTGGGGTGTGAATGAACAATTAAGACTTGGTCAAGGGGCGTGAGGGGTCTAAAGAGCTCCATGTGACCTGTGTCTGCACAAACAGAGCAGTGGGTTGCATATTTAGATTGTATCCATCTTTGGATGTTTGTCGAAATGCAGATTCTTGGGCCCTGCCCGCAAAGCTTCTGGTTCTGGAGGTCTGGAGTGGCGCTCAAGGATCTGCCTTTTATTTTTTTTTTTTTTTAAGGATTTTATTTATTTATTTGACAGAGAGAGAGATAGCGAGAGCAGGAACACAAGCAGGGGGAGTGGGAGAGGGAGAAGCAGGCTCCCCGCAGAGCAGGGAGCCCGATGTGGGACTCGATCCCAGGACCCTGGGATCATGACCTGAGCCGAAGGCAGACGCTTAACGACTGAGCCACCCAGGCGCCCAAGGATCTGCCTTTTAATCAGGTGACTCTAGAGCTTCTTAATCGGGTAGGTCATGAAGAGCCATGTTAAGAAGTTCTGGTCTAGAGGCACCTGGCTGGCTCAATCCAAAAAGCATGCGACTCTTGATGTCAGGGTCGTGAGTTTGAGTCCCACGTTGCGTGTAGAGATTATTTTTAAAAATAAGTTAATTAATTAAAAAAAAAAAGTCTCTGGGGCGCCTGGGTGGCTCAGTCGTTAAGCGTCTGCCTTCGGCTCAGGTCATGATCCCAGCTTCCTGGGATCAAGCCCCGCATCGGGCTCCCTGCTCGGCAGGAAGCCTGCTTCTCCCTCTTCCACTCCGCCTGCTTGTGTTCCCTCTCTCACTGTCTCTCTCTCTCTCTCTGTCAAATAAATAAAGTCTTTAAAAAAAAAAAAAAAAGTCTGGTCTAGAGCAGGGGTTGGCCCATTTGTTTATGAGTCGTGGGTGATTAGTGACAGCACAGACTATGGCCTGCAAAGCCTGTCTTGCCCTACGCAGAGAAACTTAGCCCACCCCCGAACTAGTGTGTCGAGAATTCGTGTTACCCCAGCTCTCGTGGGAGTGCCGCCTCTGAGGAAGAGGGCAGAGAAGGAGAACCTAGATCTTCCTGTGTGGCCGGCAGCCTGGCTGTTAACGATCTCGAAGCTATGTTCCTGAAAGCCTCAGAGCAGCTCTGAGGTCCTGTACCACTGAGGTGCACCCGAAAGGGTTTGTGAAACTCGAAGCCAACATCTGGCCCTTTCTTCTGCAGCCAGCATTTTTCAGACCTTGGTCATTTTCCCGCCATTTTATTGTCATTATTACCATATCTAAATGTGCTTAACTTTGTAAATACATACATTTAGAAAAGTTGATGATACACGTCCTGATACTATTGCAAATTAAAACCATTGAGCCGAATTGAGCGTCATGAAAATGAATATGTGAGCAAAACATCAGTTTTTTACCAAGTGACAATTAAATATAAAGGCACACCTGAGCACAGTGGGGATTGTGGGTTAGGAACGCACAGTGGAAAGAAGGCATGGGCCGCATCTGAAGGTGGACAGGTGTACATTTGCAGGGCTTAAAATGTGTCCTGTGCCCTTTTGTGAGCTGGAGTCTGGCCTATGGGGTGGGTTCCCCTGCAAGGCACTGTGATTCACTCTCCCTTGTGTTGTTTAGGGTGTCAGCCTGACTGCAGCCCGGGAATGCGGGCAACTTGTGTTCCTCGAGGGTCTTAAGTCTTCGGTGGATGTCTTCTTCCGGGCTCAGGCGGAGCCACACCCCCTGCAGTTCCTCAGGTCAGTCAGCCCGCAGCCCCGCCCAGAAGTACCCACCTGGTGGGGAGGCCCAGACCAGGCTTGCCCTGTGATTCCTTCTCCCTGGCATGTGGCGTGTGGGGGGACAGAGCTGGCTTTAGGAGGCAGACACTTCCCTGGTGTTGCAGCTTCATCAAAAAGCCCTTGGCTCTTATCATGGGCCAGAGGGTGTATGGCTGACCCAAAAGCTTACAGAAAGCATTATTTGCTGGGAGTATGGCAGAACAGTGTTTTTTCCAACCCTGGTTCAGAGCCCGTGCACACACCTTTGTTCTGTTTTTGGCTCAATACAGGGCTCAGCAAAGTATGGCCCATGGGATAGCTACCTGTTTTTGTAAATAAAGTTTTATTAGAATAGCTGCATTCATTTCTTCGCATATTGTTCCTGGCTGTTTTGCACTCCCAACGGCAGAGTTGAGTAGTTGAGACAGAGACCATAGAACTCACAAGCCTAAAATATTACTGTTGCTTTTTAAGAAAAAGTCTGTTGACTCCTGGGTTTACTATTCTGAGATTGGTTTTTCTGTTTTTTTTCTGTCCTTTATGGGTGTCAGCCACAAACAACTCTGTACAGACTCCCCACCTGGTTGCTCTTCTTCCTCTACCACAAAGGAGTCCATACGGGAGCTCTCCCCACCGCCCCCTCTCTCAGACTCAGCCTGATGCAGTGTATGGAAAGCAGTATGGTCAGAAGGCCCCGTGCCCTGACCCTATGCGTGTGATCTCGCACACAACCTTTACCATCTCCGAACCTGGTCTGAATGATGGGCCTGGTTACACCTCACCCCTGGGTTGGGGGAAGTTGTCCTTGCTGTTAGTGGGGCTTGGACCTGGAGCATGGGCACATGCCTAGGCCCTTTGCTCTGGTGCTTTTTGAGCCTCTTTTGCTGGGAAGTGACCGCCAAGGGTAGTCATTGGGGAGGTGGAGGTAGCTGGGCCAACTTGTTCAGAAACAGGTGGAATCTGTTAGGTACACAAACAGCCCTTAGACCTTGGTCCCTCACTGCTAGGTTACCTGAATTGCTGTTTAGCTTTTTGTCCCCATGATGACCTCCCGGGAAGGCCTCTCCTGCCTGCGCAATCCAGATTAATCTTCTGATGCCTTAAGCTCTTAGGAGGAGGGGCTGCATGGTGTCTCTTGAGGATCCGAGAGGCTGTTTATTTTTGTGTCCCCCAGTATCTAGCACAGTGCTTTGTATCTCCTAGGCCTCAAGGAGTGTTTGAAGTACAACTTGCTCATGTATGAACGCATGCCTTTTCTTTCCAACCATATCAGGAACCTCTTAGGCCAAGGCCTGTGATCCAGTTCTTTGCCCCATCCACCCCAGCCCTTTCCTGTGGTGCTGCTCAGTCCCGGATAAACATTTGTAGAGAGAATGAACTCTCCAGTGACCCTTGCTTGATGTTCCAGGGAGGCCGATGCTGGGAACCTGCAGCCCCTGTATGAGTTTGTCCGAGAGACTCTGAAGCCCATGGATGATGGACAGGCCGCATGGAGGTGCCCAGTGCTGCTAGTGGATGACCTCAGTGTGCTGCTGAGCCTGGGCCTGGGGGCAGTGGCTGTGTTGGACTTCATCCACTACTGCAGAGTTGCCGTGTGCTGGGAACGAAAGGTACTGATCGGCCTGCTGTCTGTGCTCCCGCCTGTGACCTCCATGGGCCCAGATGGGTCCACACCTCCCTTGCTTGCGGTGATCTTTCTTGTGTATTTGCCTGGAGGTTTGGCTTTACTCTGGTAGCCTCAGAAATCTTTTGGTCTACCATTCTCCACTCCCCTACTTGCTGCTGCTAAAAAATAAAGGCCTCGAAATGAAAAGGTTGATCGGTACTGTCTTGACTGTGGCCAGTCGTGTGTGGTTCTGCAGAAGTCCTAGCTCTGGCACACATTGCCTCGTGTCTTAGGGCAAGTCATTGTCTCTCTGTGTGGACTTTGAAGATCAGTTGAGATATAAACGGCTGTAAAAAATTGTGTGATGCGATGCAAGTATAGGACCTGATCTTTATGGTCAAATGATGAGGCAAAAATGGGGATTTTGCCAAAACAGAGAGTTAAACAATGGGAGTCGACCCACCTATACAATAGGAATGGCTCTGGTGCCTACCTCGCGGGAACCCAATGGCAGGAGTTTAGTGACATGAAGCTTGCAGCACGCCCACACAACATCTGGCCCACGGCGGCCGCTCTTCAGCCTGTGATGGCGCCCCTGGCAGGAGCCTGCGGCTCACCGTGTGGTCAGGCTGCATTGCTGGGCAGTGGTTGGCGTGAGCTAGTGGAGTCAGCCGGGGCTGCATGTCCCCAGCAGGGCGTGTTGAGCACCTCCTGTGTGCAAGGGCCTGCCTGGCAGCTGGGTTCAGGGGAACTCCGGGGGCCGCGGGGTCACAGGGCCGGGAGCCGGACGACGTGGAGAGAATGGGAGGAAGAGGGAATGGAAGGGGCGCGGAGGGCGCGATCAGCAACACCGAAGTGGGCTCACTGCCTGCAGCTTAGCTTGCTCTGTGGCCCGCTGCCACCCTCGTCTTGTAAAAACACCTCTTTTAGTTGAAAAAGTAAAACTTGGGAATAGTTTAAGAAAGCAAAAATAAATAGCACAAAGAGTACTTTAGTAAAAAGTAACGGTCTCTTTCCCGATGTGGATATTGTTCCAGAGAGTCTGTGCAATTGTGAACATGTTTTATGTGTGTGTGTCTCTGCATTTTTCTTCATGTCGCTGGTCACCTGCCATGCCATTTCACAGCACACCTAGATCTTGGTGTCCATTGCCCAAGAACAGAACACTTGGGTTTGTTTCATTCTTTCTTTCCTTCTTTTTTTTTTAAAGATTTTATTTATTTGACAGAGAAAGACACAGCGAAAGAGGGAACACAAGCAGGGGGAGTGGGAGAGGGAGAAGCAGGCTTCCCCGCAGAGCAGGGAGCCTGATGCAGAACTCGATCCCAGGACCCTGGGATCATGACCTGAGCCGAAGGCAGACGCTTAACCGACTGAGCCACCCAGGCGCCCCAAGATTGGTTTTTTTTTAAATATTTTATTTATTTATTTGAGAGAGAGACACAGTGAGAGAGGGAACACAAGCAGGGGGAGTGGGAGAGGGAGAAGCAGGCTTCCCCGTGGAGCAGGGAGCCCGACGCGGGGCTCGATCCCAGGACCCTGGGATCACGACCTGAGCCGAAGGCAGACGCCTAACAACTGAGCCACCCGGGCACCCCTGCTTCATTCTTTCTAACAACTGGACAGTATACCTCTGAAGGGACTTACTGTTCGGGGTATCCCCTTCAATGGGTCGACCTCCCCCTCGGGTTCTGGTTGGCTAACTCCTGCTTGCCATTCTAACTCTGCTCATGTGTGTCCACCTCCTGACCCTCTCCGCTGTGCCAGACATGATGCCTCTTCCCTGTGCTCCCTCAGCCCCCCATGCTCCCCTTTCTCCTGGCCTATGTCCTGTGTTGTCTCCAGGGCCCACACTGCTCCCCTCTGGTCCCGCTGCAGCCTGGCGCTTGCTGAGCATTCAGGAGCCTGGCAGAAAGGTGGCACTTTTTGCTAACATGGAGGACCACAGGCCGAGCTGAGCTGGGTTTAAGAGGGACTGAGCTGGCAGGATAGACTGGGTGTGCTGGCGAGGCTGGAATCAGGGTCCTGGAGCACAGGCAAGGGTCCTTCCCAGTAGTAGCAGCGTGGAGGCTGATCAAGGCGAAGACGTGCAGGGGATTGGAGGCACCAAGAGCCCGGTGCTCCCTCATGGCCCTGCCTGGAGGAGCAGGTTCTCACCTTGACTCTCTGTTGCAGGGAAACATCGTGGCCCTGGCACACGACAGTGGAGACGGCGAGGACAAGGAGAATGACATCCTCTTGAATGGCCTTAGTCACCAGAGCCACCTGATCCTGCGGGCCGAGGGCCTGGCTACGGGCTTCTGCAGGGACGTGCATGGACAGGTGCTCAGGGGCTCATGGGGCACCAGCTGCTGCTCTGCACCTGAGCCGAGACCATACGTGGGCTAGTGTCAGGCCCTAGGGGTTGTCTGGTTGAGGTGTTCCTTCAGATGCAAGGGAAACCTCAGGAGTTGTGTGAATGCAAGACAGAGTCTGTTCCAGATGGGGCTAGCCTCACACACCAGTGCACGTTTTCCATGGTGGTTCCATTTGTGACCGAAGCAGAACTTCCTAAAAAGGAGACTGCTGTCTGGAGCAGAATGCAGGGGCCCTGCTGTCCGACAGCAGAAAGCCTCTGCAGGACCACAGCAGGCTTTGTTTACTCAGGTCAATGCTGCTGCTTTTAAAATACAAACCTGGGGGGACCATACCCTTGGCTAGGGTTGCTGCCGCCCCTGCTGCTGCCTCTGACCAGAATGTTGGAGAACTCAGGCAGAAGCTGAGAGTCCTGCCTTGTGAGGGAGGTCAGGTTCTACCTCCTCCCAAGGGGCTGCCATGGTTCTCTGCCTTCTGGAACTTTTCTTTTGGAATCTCCTCCCACACCCCCACCACAGCTTCCAGGTTAACTTGACATTGACCACTCTTGACCCATTAGGCATGGCTGGGAGTTTTGGCCCAGAGTCAGAAAAGAAAACAAACGGGCAAGCCCCGAGATGCTGTGTTGGTAGTGCCCGTGTGCACAGCGGGAGGAGAGGGTTCAGAGAGGGTTCTCTGAGGCCAGTCCCCTGGAGCATGCTAGCATGCCTAGCACTGAGACATCATCAGAATAAACCTCTAGCCTTCCTGAGCCTGTACTAGTTGGAATGTACTGACTCTCATGAGTTGATTCTCAAAATCCGTGTAGCCCACAAAACCACGCATAGAAAAAAGACCAAATTACTTCAGTGGTTTTTCCCTGGATGGCTGTTTTTCTTTTTCTTTCTCTTACACATTTTCTGTAACGGGCAGGTATCACTCCTGTAACGGAGGGGGGAAACCTTTAGTTTTAGTTAGCTGGTAATCTTTGTTTTCGAAGTGGGTCGCATGCTGCATGGCACATGACTGGGACCTCCTAGAGGCCTCGGTCGCATGTAGTGGAGCAGGCGGGTACTTGGGGGCTGCTTCTCTTTCATTCTTCTCCTTGTCCCTGTAGCTGAGGATCCTCTGGCGGACACCATCACAGCCCACAGCCCAGCGGGATGGGAGCCTCACTTACCAGTACAAGATACAGGACAAAAGTGTGTCCTTTTTTGCCAAAGGAATGTCTCCTGCTGTTCTGTGACCTGATTGAGGAGCACACAGAGCGACCTTGGACCGTTTTCAGATGTGAAAGATAAAGCGACGGGTCGGAATGGATCTGTGCACCTTTGAAGTGGCATTTCAGCCTGGACCGACGGCCCCACTGCGGGGCGGGGCGGGGCCATGGAAGGGGGCTGTGACAGCACGGCCTAGTTCCCTGGGCTGTTCAGAAAACAAGAGGGAATAGCAACCTGGCCTTTGCGGAGAGAGACGCCACATGTTGAAACCGGGTGAAAGTGGTGCCAGGAGCCTTTCATTAAATACGCTTTAGCCTCAACCGCCCATTTGGCTGTTGTGCCTTTCAGAGCCAGAGTGGGTATGAATGTGCCAGCTAGGAGACAGCCCTGGGTGGCAGGCACCAGAGGGACACCGTGGATAATCATGGCTGGTATGAGGAGAGTCCCCATATCGTGGCTTCCTAGGGATGGACTGTCTCATTTAATTTTCACCTGCATCCTGCAGAAGTATTTGCCCTTCAGTCCGGTAAGAAAACTGGCTTAAAGAGGTTTGGCAAGCGCGGTCAAGGCTGGAGAGCCGGCCGTAGATAGTGGAGCCTGACTCTGAAGTCCACACTTGCTGACCGAGCCTCCCAGAACCCAGGGGCAGGCTCCCCACTTGGTTCACAGCTTCACTTCCTCCTGGTTCTGGGGTCCCTGGCACATGAGGCTTCCTGGTTTGGTGAGAGGGGTAAGGAGTGTTCTTGCTGCCAGGTGGGATGGGGCCTTGGCAAGTTGCTCCCTTACCTGTGAAGACCGAAGAGGTGAGCTTTTGCCCCAACATCCTGTAGATGCCACACTCAGCCCGTCAGTCAAGATCACCTCAGAGTAGACACCAGGGGCATTCCCTGAAACTGGGTACATTTTTGCTATATGCAAATTATACTGCAGTGAATTTGAAATGAAACAATAACACTGCTCAGCAGGGACTAAGGAAATTTCATATCTGTTGTTTAATTTTAACTTTTCACATTTTTTAGTTTTTGTAAAAGGGAACAATTCATCACTCCTCTCCTCAAGTCATACTATTATGTTGGTTATCCCACTGATAACCAGTAATAGTAGCTGCTTTTCTTCCCAAAATATCGCAGACCTGATAGAATATTTGAAAATTATGTGTACAAGTAACTTGAGAAAGTGGTTATTGAAGAATCTAATGATTCTTTTATGAATACTCTTCAGTATTTATACCAGCTTCATCTGAGCTACAATTCTGAATGGGCTTGGCACCCCAGAACATTTTTTACATGATACGAATGGTGCTATTCTGTTTCTTCACTTAATTTATAAGTGAATTTACTAAATTTTTTTAATAAGATTTTATTTATTTGAGTGAGAGAGAGAGAGAACACAAGCAGAGGGGAGGGGCAGAGGGAGAGGGAGAAGCAGACTCCCCTCTGAGCAGGGAGCCCAATGCGGGACTCTATCCCAGGACCCTGGGATCATGACCTGATTTGAGGGCAGATGCTTAACCAACAGAGCCACCCAGGCATCCCTGAGTTCACTACATTTTAACGTTTAATGGTTACTGAGCATTTTATGGTGTCATTATTCTAATTTGCTCAGCTTTTCTCTGAGCATGTAGGTTCTGGGATTTGTAATTATAAATTACGTTACGAATATTATTTTATTATTTTTAATCTCATTAAATTTTATTTGGGGGGCATCTGGGTGCACAGTCGGGTGCTTTATCTCTCTCTCTCAAATAAATAAATAAAATCTTAAAAAAAATTATGAAGATTTTATTTTTAAGCAATCTCTACGCTCAACATGGGGCTTGAACTCAAAACCCTGAGGTCAAGAGTCGCATGCTCCACTGACTGAACCAGCCAGGTGCCCTGCGATTTTTATACACTATACTTATTTGGAGGTGGGGGCAAATACTTGTTTCTTTAGAACTTTCATTCAGTCACTCAGCAAATATTGAATACTTTCTATATGGCAGGCTGCTGTTAGGCACTGAGGGTATGACCATGACAAAGCAGGTCCCTGCCTGCAACAAATTGAGAAGTAATTTATGTAGAGTTAGACTGTGTTAAGTGCTGTAAATAAAACAGGGAAGGGGCACCTGGCTGGCTCAATCTGTAGAGCATGTGACTCGATCTGAGGGTTGTGATTTCGAGCCCCACCTTGGGTGTAGAGATTACTAAAAAAAATAAACTTTAAAAAGTAAAAATAAGGGGCGCCCGGGTGGCTCAGTCATTACGCGTCTGCCTTCTGCTCAGGTCATGATCCCAGGGTCCTGGGATCAAGCCCCGCATCGGGCTCCCTGCTCTGCAGGAGGCCTGCTTCTCCCTCTCCCCCACCCCCTGCTTGTGTTCCCTCTCTCGCTGTGTCTCTCTCTGTCAAATGAATAAAAAAAAAAAACTTAAAAAAAAATAATAAAGCAGGGGAAGGGGCCTATGAAAGTGAGGGATGATGAAATTTTAGTCTTCTCCCTGAAGTGGAATTTCTGAATTAAAGCATGGATTGGGGCACCTGGCTGGCTCAGTTGGTAGAGCATGTGACTCTTGGCTTCGGGTCCTGAGTTCAAGCCTCATGCTGCGTGTGGAGCCTACTTAATTAAAAAAATAAATAAAATCTTAAAAAAAAATGTTTAAAAAAACAAAAAACATGGACTGGCCCTCACGTGGTACAGATCGTTCTTCAGAATGATGGAGCCAGTTAACAGTGATTTATAAGTTTTCCTCCACCAACGTTGGATTTAACTTATTTTTTACTAATTTAATAGTTGTGCAGAGTTGTGGGAAAATGGACATTAATGGCTAGAATATGATTTTCTCTCTGTATTTTCCCATGTGTGGAGAATGTATTCCTCACCCTTAATCACTTATCAATTAGAACCTGGGGTCAACCTTGTTTTATTCATTCCTTGTAGTAGTTTGGAAAGGATTTTATCATTTGTTCATGTATATATTTTTCTACTTTAAAAAACATTTTATCTTCAGAAAGATTTGTTTTCTATTCCGATATGCATTAGTTCAAGAAATATTTGTGGACCGCCTGTTTTTATATAAGGGGCCATTAAGATAGAGACAGTCTTAAAGGCACCTGCTGTGCTCTGATGGGGGCTAAGCAACAATCACTTAAGTGATGTGACACAGTGGAGAAGATGAGGGCCATAAAACAATGCAAGTAATGGACGGTGACCGGCTGATGGTCACAGGAAAGAGTGATTATTTCCCCATCACTTTTTTGCTTTTGTTAAGGGAGCAGAGAATTGGGGAAGAAATTATGGAGGCAATACTATTTGTTTTTGGTTTTTTTTTAAGATTTTATTTATTTATTTGAGAGAGAGAGTACACAAGCAGGGGTAAGGGCAGGCAGAGGGAGAAGCAGGCTCCCCACTGAGCAAGAGCCCAATGTGGGGCCTGAGCGCAGGACCCTGGGATCATGACCTGAGCCAAAGGCAGCTGCTTAACAGACTGAGCCACCCAGGTGCCCCGAGGCAATACTATTTGAACAAGACCTTGGAATTGTTCCTATTTTGTCTCTGATGGTACCTTAGTTCTTCAGGATTCAGGAGAGGTATTTTCCTTCCTGAATGGAATGAAGGTGCTGTTCTTTGTTGTTGTTGTTTCTAGTTTAAAATAATTTTTAAAATATGCTTCAAATTAATTTATTTTTTAAAAAGATTTTATTTATTTGTCAGAGAGAGAGAGCACACAAGCAGGGGGAGTGGCAGGCAGAGGGAGAAGCAGGCTCCCTGCTGAGCAAGGAGCCCAATGCAGGGCTCCATCCCAGGACCCTGGGATCATGACCTGAGCCGAAGGCATGATGCTCAACCGACTGAGCCACCCAGGCACCCCTCAAATTAACTTATTTAGAATTTGCTACAGTATTGTAATTTGTCTTCGTGCTGGTAACTAAATAGCCCAACAGTATTTACTGAAAAGTAGTGATCCTTTCTTGTTATGTAGTTTGGGTTTATTTATATGTAAAGTTCTTAAAATTGAGCTTTTCTGAAATTTGTTCTTAGTAGGTATTGAAAGGTTAGTATATGTGTGCTCTCAAGAGCTTTTATTAAAAGGATATCTGCCTGCTTATTTATCCAGATGAATTTCACCAGCACGTTATCAAGCTCTGTAAAGTATCCTTCAAGGATTTTTTGCTCTTGTTTTTAAAATTGTAGTTGTGTAATTTTATTTAAAAAACTAGTGAAGAAATTAATACCCTCTTATTAAATTTTTTTTATTTTATTGGAAAACAAATGATCTGGTTTTGTGGAATTTTTTAGTTTTTAGTTTTTTGTTTTTTTTTTTTAAGTAGGTTCCACACCCAGCGTGGAGCCCAACACAGGGCTTGAACCCGTGACCCTGAGATCAGGACCTGAGCTGAGATTAAGAGCTGGATGCCTACCAACTAACTGAGCCACCCAAGTGCCCCCGATTTTGTGGATTTTTCTATGGTGTCTTTGACATAGGGATGTAGTTGACTTTTTAAAATATAAGTTATTCTACAGTTTTTCTAAACTATTCTAATAATTTTCTAATTGAGATTCCTGAATTTTTAGATATTTTTTCTTGTTTTCCTTTTTTCAGATATTAACACCTACAAATAATGCCAACCTTGCTTATTTTCCTTTAAATAGGGAAAATTTTTTTATAGAAGTATAGTTAACTTACATCATTAGTTTCAGGTGTACAACATAGTGATTCGACAGTTACATACATTATGAAATACCACCATACAAGTAATGGTAATTGTCATCTGTCACCAACAAAGTTATTACACTATTATTGACTAAATTTCTCACGCTGTATTTTGCACCCTGTGACTTACTTATTTTATAACTGGAAGTTGTACCTCCTGATCCCCTTCACCTATTTTGCCCGTCCCCCTCCCCACCCCCCCTCTGGCAACCACCAGTTCTCTGGATTTATGAATCTGTTTCTGTTTTTTATTTGTTTTTAGTTTCCACATATAAGTGAAATCATACGGTATTTGTCTTTCTCTGACTTATTTCACTTAGCATAGTACCCTCTAGGTCCATCCGTGTTTTCACCAATGGCAGTATTTCATTTTTTTTTTTTTAAGATTTTTTTTATTTATTCAACAGAGCGAGAGAGTACAAGCAGGGGGAGCAGGAGAAGAGGGAGAAGCAGGCTTCCCACTGAGCAGGGAGCCTGATGCGGGGCTTGATCCCAGGACTCTGAGATCATGACCTGAGCCGAAGGCAGATGCTTAACCATCTGAGCCACCCAGGTGCCCCAGTTTATTCTTTTTTATAGCTAAGTAATATTCCAGTGTTTGTGTGTGTGTGTGTGTGTGACATCTTTATCCATT